CGCATCGCATCGCATCGCATCGCATCGCATCGCATCGCATCGCATCGCATCGCATCGCATCGCATCGCATCGCATCGCATCGCATCGCATCGCATCGCATCGCATCGCATCGCATCGCATCGCATCGCATCGCATCGCATCGCATCGCATCGCATCGCATCGCATCGCATCGCATCGCATCGCATCGCATCGCATCGCATCGCATCGCATCGCATCGCATCGCATCGCATCGCATCGCATCGCATCGCATCGCATCGCATCGCATCGCATCGCATCGCATCGCATCGCATCGCATCGCATCGCATCGCATCGCATCGCATCGCATCGCATCGCATCGCATCGCATCGCATCGCATCGCATCGCATCGCATCGCATCGCATCGCATCGCATCGCATCGCATCGCATCGCATCGCATCGCATCGCATCGCATCGCATCGCATCGCATCGCATCGCATCGCATCGCATCGCATCGCATCGCATCGCATCGCATCGCATCGCATCGCATCGCATCGCATCGCATCGCATCGCATCGCATCGCATCGCATCGCATCGCATCGCATCGCATCGCATCGCATCGCATCGCATCGCATCGCATCGCATCGCATCGCATCGCATCGCATCGCATCGCATCGCATCGCATCGCATCGCATCGCATCGCATCGCATCGCATCGCATCGCATCGCATCGCATCGCATCGCATCGCATCGCATCGCATCGCATGCATCGCATCGCATCGCATCGCATCGCATCGCATCGCATCGCATCGCATCGCATCGCATCGCATCGCATCGCATCGCATCGCATCGCATCGCATCGCATCGCATCGCATCGCATCGCATCGCATCGCATCGCATCGCATCGCATCGCATCGCATCGCATCGCATCGCATCGCATCGCATCGCATCGCATCGCATCGCATCGCATCGCATCGCATCGCATCGCATCGCATCGCATCGCATCGCATCGCATCGCATCGCATCGCATCGCATCGCATCGCATCGCATCGCATCGCATCGCATCGCATCGCATCGCATCGCATCGCATCGCATCGCATCGCATCGCATCGCATCGCATCGCATCGCATCGCATCGCATCCGCATCGCATCGCAATCGCATCGCATCGCATCGCATCGCATCGCATCGCATCGCATCGCATCGCATCGCATCGCATCGCATCGCATCGCATCGCATCGCATCGCATCACATCCCATCACATCACATCACATCACATCACATCACATCACATCACATCACATCCCATCACATCACAAACCCGATTTAGCCAAATTGTCTCCAAAAGATCCCGAAATGACCCTGATAAAAACCAATTGACACTAATTGACCCCAATTCACAAGTGGGGTCAATTAGGGTCAATTGAGCTTAATTGTGTTGTTCCCCTCAATTAGGATTAATTGACTTATTTAGGTCAATTACGATCAATTAGGGCACCAATGGACCCAAATCAAAACAATTGATAACAATTAAATGAAATACCCAAATTAACGTCATTTTATTCAATCAAAGTCAATTGAATGTCAATTAAACTTAATTGGTGCAATATGGGATTTTTGGTCAATTTATGGTCAATTTGGTCAATTGTGGTTGATTGAAATAATTAGGTTCAATTTTGATCAATTATTCCAATTAAGGTCATTTGGGTCAATTGCGCCTATTGAGGATCAAAAGGCCGAAATAGGGTCAATTTAGTTATTTTGGTCTATTTTGGTAAATTGGGTCAGTTGGGATCATTTAGGTCGATTGGTCGCATCTTTCGTCGTAACTAGCTAACCACCACAGATGGAGAATGATTCTTCTTGTCAAGCAGCTTCGCACTCAGGAAGGAGAGAAAATGTTGAGTCTCTCTTCCGCATCCGCCATAGGCGCTGAAGACGACCGGTGTGAAGGATTCATGCTCGACCTGCACAATCCGTTGGTTGTAATGTCGCTTCTTTTCCCGTTCGTACTCAGGGTAAATTAGGGTTAATTAGGCTAATTTGTGTCATCTGTCAATGGGGTCAATTAAGCTAATGAAGGTCATTTTAGTAGATTAGGCTCCATTGGGGTCAATAAGTTGAAATAAGTTTAAATGGTACATTTAGGTAAATTGGTCTATTAATGATCCAAATTGACCCAAATGATTCCAATTTACCTAATTTGACCCACATTGACGCAAATCACCCTAATTGACCCCAATTGAATTAAATGACCTCAATAGACCCAAATTGACATTAATTGACCAATATAAACAAATTAACCCTAATTGATCCTTAAAAAACTCCAAGTGACTCAAATAACATATTTGAAACTAATTCACCTCAAATCATCCCAATTGACCTCAATTGACCTAAATGACCTAAATTGAACTTACTTGACCCCTTAATTGACACTAAATGACCTACATTTACCTTAATTGACCCAAATGACCCATATCACCCTAATTGACTAAAATGACCTAAAAGTTTTCAATTGGCGTGATTTATGGTCAATTTGAACAATTGTGGTCAATTTGAATCAATTAATAACAATTAGGTCAATTTGAGTTAATTATGCTAATTGACCTAAATCACCTATTTTGACCTAATTGACCCCCAATTTACCTGAATTAACCCGATTTAGCCAAATTTTCCCCCGAAGATCCCGAATTGACCCTGATTATAACCAATTGACACTAATTGACCCCAATTCACAAATGGGTTCAATTAGGGTCAATTGAGCTTAATTGTGTTGTTTCCTTCAATTAGGATTAATTGACATTATTTAGGTCAATTACGATCAATTAGAGCACCAATGGACCCAAATCAACCCAATTGATAACAATTAACCGAAATAACTAAATAACCTAATTTTAGTCTATCAAAATGAATTGAATGTCAATTAGGCTTAATTGGTTCAATATGGGTAAATTTATGGTCAATTTGGTCAATTGTGGTTAATTGAAATAATTAGGTTCAATTTTGATCAATTAGCCCAATTAGGGTCATTTAAGTCAATTGCGCCTATTTAGAGTCAAAAGGGCAAAATAGGGTCAATTTAGTTATTTTGGTCCACTGTGGTCAATTGGGTCAGTTGGGATCATTTGGGTCAATTGGTCCCCAAATTGATCCTAACTGACCTAAATAATCTCAATTGAGCCCGAATTGACATCAATTGACAAAAACCACTTATATGAGCCCATTTGATCCAACTGACCCTTTGAGCTCAAATGACTAAAATGAACTTAAGTGTCGCAAATTCATTCAACTGACCTTAACAACCCTAATTAACTTTATTTTACCTCAAAGGTTATAAAGGGAAAAAACTTAATTTTTTTCAATTGGGGTTAATTATGGTCAATTTGGTCAATTATGGTCAATTGGAATCAATTAGGGTCAATTTGGCTATTGACCTAAATGACCTAAATCGACCTATTTGACCCCTAATTGAGCTCAATTAACCCCATTTAGCCAAATTGACCCCCGAATTGACCCTAATAAAACCAATTGACACAAATGACGGACAATTAGGCTAATATGGTCATTGCAGTCTATTGTGGTGAATTAGGTCAGTTAGAGTCATTTACATCATTTAGTCTCCCAATTGATCCTAATCAGCCTGAATAATTACAATTGATCCCAATTGACAGAAATGACATATTTTAGCCCAGTTGACCCTAGTTCAATATATTTTTTTAATTGGGGTGAATTATGGTCAATTTGCTAAAATGTGGTCAATTGGAATCAATTAGGGTTAATTTGAGTCAATTTGGGTCAATTAAGCTCATTGACCCAAATGACCTATATTGACCTAATTGACCCCCAATTGACCTCAATTTACCCGATTTAGCCAAATTGACTCCCGAATTACCCGAATTGACCCTAATTTAAACTAATTGACAGTAATTGACCTTAATTGAAAAATTTAGTTCAATTAGGGTAAATTGAGCTTAATTGTGTTGTTCAACTCAATTGTGTTTAATTTAGATTATTTAGGTCAATTACGAGCAATAAGGGCACCAATGGACCTAAATGACTCCAATTGATCACAATTTTCCGAAAAAACTAAATTAACGTCATTTTAGTCAATTAAGGTCAATTTAATGTCAATTAGGCTCAATTGGGTCAATATTGGTCAATTTGGTTTATTTAGTTAAATTTTGTCAATTTTGGTTAATTCGAATAATTAGGGTCAATTTTGATAAATTAGCCCAATTAGTGTCATTTGGGACAATTACGCCTATTCAGGGTAAAAAGGGCGAAATAGGGTCAATTTAGTTATTTGGGTCCATTGTGGTCAACTAGGACAGTGGGGATCATTTGGGTCAATTGGTCCCTGAATGGATCCTAACTGACCTAAATCTCTCAATTGACCCCCAATTGACAGAAATGACATATTTTAACCCAGTTGACCCTAGTTCAATATATTTTTTCAATTGGGGTGAATTATGGTCAATTTGCTCAAATGTGGTCACAATTGAAAACAATTAGGGTTAATTTAAGTCAATTTGAGTCAATTAAGTCAATTAAGCTCATTGACCCAAATGACCTATATTGACCTAATTGACCCCCAATTGACCTCAATTTACCCGATTTAGCCAAATTGACTCCCGAATTACCCGAATTGACCCTAATTTAAACTAATTGACAGTAATTGACCTTAATTGAAAAATTTAGTTCAATTAGGGTAAATTGAGCTTAATTGTGTTGTTCAACTCAATTGTGTTTAATTGAAATTATTTAGGTCAATTACGAGCAATAAGGGCACCAATGGACCTAAATGACTCCAATTGATCACAATTTACCGAAAAAACTAAATTAACGTCATTTTAGTCAATTAAGGTCAATTTAATGTCAATTAGGCTCAATTGGGTCAATATTGGTCAATTGGGTTAATTTAGTTAAATTTTGTCAATTTTGGTTAATTCGAATAATTAGGGTCAATTTTGATAAATTAGCCCAATTAGTGTCATTTGGGACAATTACGCCTATTCAGGGTAAAAAGGGCGAAATAGGGTCAATTTAGT